GTGTAAGTCGGGCATGCTTCTGACTTAGCTATTCCCGCCACGATGGTATTTTGATTGATGAACAATGTTAATATATACAGTAGAATCTCGTCATACGGATTCGCGATTATCCGGACTATCAACCGCGACTAATTTATGTGTATGTTCATACCTACAATTCGATTAATGCTGCAATTTTGTAAATGTATGTAATGTAATGTAAGAACATATATATGCACATACATATGGAAGTGTTAATTTCTTAATAAACATTGATTTTCGTTGATATCTATGTTTGTATTTGTTATTTTTAATACATACACAATATTATTATTCATACATTCGATTATCCAGATTTTTTATTATGCAAATGCCTATCTACAACAATTAGTCCGGTTAATCGAGGTTCTAGTGTAAAAATTGAGAATATGTGTGTACTTTATGCTTACGTAGTTATAGAATTTATTAAACCTCTCCTTCGATAATTTAGATTGTTGGGTTATAATTTAACCCTTGTAGCTGTGGACTGTATTAAACATTGATTTGGTATATTAATGTATTTATTGCAGTTCTAATTACAATCACTGATTTGTTACAAGTTATAAAGAAAGAAGATATATTTATTTTTATTGGTTATTTACATGTTGTTAAGCGCACTTTACTTTTTGAAGTGAACAACTAGTTCCATTAAAACACTCCGCTACCCACCCCCCCTACCAGGGTAGCAACCATTCGTGTAAAGCTTAATGCCCTGAAGTTTGTCACCTTCATGGCCAATATAATAAAACAAAAAGACGCCCGAACAATGTGAAAAAAATAAACGTTTGTTATATTAATTATAATATGTATCTTTTCCTCCCAGAATGGTTCGTGGTTGTGAAAAACACGTGTCGATGGTCGTTTGTCAGCCGGAACCGGTGGGCGCCTTCGGACGGAAGTCGACGATGCAGCGGGCGAAGCAGCAAAGCACCGACGACCAGAGAACAGGCGACGAGGCGGCCGCGGACACCAAGCGAAAGGCGCCGCACGCCCGCGTACGGTTTGCGGAAAGCGTTTGCGTCAACGGGGCTCCATTATTTCCGGTAAATTAGAATTATAAAACTAGTGGTGCACGGCATCGTGCCTTAAGGCCAATTGCTAGAACTTTCCATACCAAAAATTAAAAAATTTCAAAAAGATTCAATTTTCTTCTAGAACTCTGAAAAAATCGATTTTTGAGATCTTTAAATTTTTTGTAAAATTTGATATTTTCGAAAAATTTCATTTTTTATACTTTGAAATATTTCGGAAAATGAACTTTTTTTGAAAATTGAACGACTCGACCTGCCTCTACCAAAATCATATCAGCACGTCTCCTTATCAATACAAATCGAATGTTTTTATAATTATTCAAATCGGTTGACTCGTGTTCCCGAAATTGTCGACGAAAATTGGTATTCGCACACACACATACATACACACACACATACATACACACATACATACACACATATACTTATAAACATACATACAAACGTACATACACACACATACATACATTTTTGCTAAGGTATGCCTAACCTTTAAACGTAAAGATATACACAAATTTTCATTTTCGATTTTTTTGCGATTACTATAACTTACCCTACGGGAAGTTAATAATTAATGTTTAATTTTATTAATTAATTTGTATTAACAGGCATTGTTCTCAAGTATATTAATTATAACCAAATTTTTACCCCATTTTTTACGAGTCTATCATATTCACATATATTCTATATTACAGTTCAATTTTAATATTTTACTACATTTCATGTACCATAATTTTTACACAAAACCAGGGCTCGATCCGAGTACCTCTGGCATATGAGTAGGGCATGATTAGCAAATTTTGCAGTTTATTTATTATGCGATTACATTTGTTTGCTGTCGAAATAGGCGTTTTTATTTTAAATAATTACATTGAGCACTGACATTACCTTTTTCAAAAAATCAGATTTAAAAAATTTATTAGAAGTTCAATGTTTTTTCTGCACGGTTGAAGTGAAACTTTGTAATGTGTAAATGAAAATAAGAAGCTGCAAAATTTGATTTTTACTGAACTTATATTATTTTTTTAAGACGAACGATCGCATATTGATCACGTCTTTTAATAATCGTTTTCGATTACGAATTGAATTATATTTTTTTAATATTTTTCACAAGAACTGCATAAATGGTAGTTCTAGTTTGATTTATAATATTTTTAAATAATTTACAAGATATACAGATAATTTAAAACATTCGGATATAACTTGCTACATTTCCAGACAATTTACAACATTTTTAAATAACACAACATTTTAAGACAATTTACTAAACTGTTATATAACTTACTATACTTTCAGACAATTTACAATACTTTCAGTAAATCTCTAACATTTTTAGGCAATCTAAAACATTTTCAGACAACCTACAACATTTTGTGACAATCTACAACATTTTCAGACAATTAACACCTTCGAAAAATCACCTCATTTTCTTAAGTCTTTTTTTTCTTAACTCTTTTTTTTCTTAACGTCTTCTTATGTATTTATATATTGGCAGACTATTTTGATGAAAATGATAGAAAATAAAGCTATGAAATGATTTAATAGTTAATTAATCATTTATAATAAAAAAATATACACCCATCAAAAAATCATAGAAAACGAAATTTAGGTTTTTAATGTATACTCATGTAAAAATGTTTGAGTTTCATTTTTTTTCAATATGTATATCTTGTGGGATATCAATGATAGTTCTAGTTGGATTAATAACATTTTTAGAAACTTTACAACTTTTTTTGGAAGAACGATTTATTTTGTATTTTTTATTAATGTTCAAGTCTATACTTTGAATGGATTGGCAATTTTGGATTGTTACGTCGTTTTCTATACATCAATAAAAATGATCGAAGATAATAATATAATATAAAATTTACATATTAAGTTTTATTAGTTACAACTTTAGGTAATGATAATTGAAACTTTATATTCCAAATAAATATTTTAAATTGTAGTTGGAAATCTAATTATTTAAATAAATACGAGTCATTTGTTAAACAATAACAGTATTTTTATCACATTCTGTTTTCTGTGTAAGGTAAATTTATCGTATTTTCTTCTGCAAACAAATTTTTCAAATTTTAAATAAAAGCAATTTATATTCAACTGTTTAATGAAGAAAACCATAGATTGAGTCCGAATCCGAAAATGGGCAGTGTAACATTTACTACTCTCAATCTCATTTCCTTTTAAATCAACACAAACACCAATTTGGTCCGCGATTAATTACCCAATTAACCCTTCTCAAGTTAAAGTAAATTTCATTAGTTGCATATAGGTATTTTGTTTTCCTTTCGCAGCCGTCGGCCTTTTCATTAGGAGACATCTGCGTGCCACCAATGGCGAACGTGTTAAAAGTTTTCTTAGAAAATGGACAGACGAAAAGTTTTAAGTACGACGCCTCGACGACTGTCGAAGATGTGGTGAGCAGTCTTAAGGACAAACTCTGCCTCACCGCTTCGGAACACTTCAGCCTGGTGCTCGAACACGTCAAAACTTTACGGAGGAACAAATTGACCCTGCTCGACCCCGAGGAATCCTTGGCAAGGGTGAGATATTTATTTTGTTTCGTTTTGGTTCCTCGGTTTTACAGAGGATAATATATATATATATATATATATATAATAAAATTTGAAAGTTTTCAGATTTTATTTAAAATCCATACGTTTCGGCTAACAAATAAATAATTTTTTTCGGAAAAGACGATATATAAATATACTTGTCATAAAAGTTTGCACATGTGTTTGACAAATTGTGAGAATAGCAGTAACTGTGGAATTTTGTCATTTTTTTTATCTTGAGACGCTATTCAAAAATCATATATTTGTTTTGTTCAAAGATGTAAAGTCGTTTCTTTTATTCAGGATCTGTAATCGGATAAACAAACCTTCAATAACTTTCTTCTGAACCAGTTTTCTTCGAAGTGTAGTATTTTAGAGTTAAAAAATCTATATTATGGTTTGAATTGTTTATATGATCTGTAATCACTGTTTTGAATTGTTTACCTTTTTTTAATTTTTTAATATTAATTTTTTGTGTTGATATAGGCGTTTGCTCAGATTTTTGCTTGTTTCGCCTATGTAAATGAGTTTGCAGTCTGTACACGTTATTTGATATACTAGGCGATCTGAATGAAATGTTGATTTGACTTTAGTATATAATATATATATATATATATATATACATTCTAGCAATTTAAATTTTATTTAAATAAATATCAAGCAATCAAATTCAATTACAATTATTTCGATATATCAATACGCACATATTGTAAATATGATTAAAATAATCCCAAGTTTATTAATTCAATAAAAGTGCGTTTATTTTATTTTCAGCATACGAAAATGACTAGTTATTTCATAATTTTAGCACTGCCATTGAATGGTCGTTTTGATTATTTTAATCGATTTATTTAGTGAATTAACACACACTCTCCTCAATTTATCGCTTGTAATTTGTGCAAATGGTTTGTGCCAAATGTCATTGGCATTTATTTTTGGCGCACTTCTGAATGGAGCATATATATCCATTATAGTTCTGTTCCAAATGAATATTGATCACATATTGCAGTATGCGGAAATAATAATTCCTTGGAAAATACCGACTAAACAGTTTTATTGGAAAGTTCGTGATGTGATTTTTACACGCTAGTTAAATAAATATAATTATGACCCATATCGGAAATCTTATTTTCGATTTACTTGATATTTTATTTTTTATTTTTAGATAGCGGCGCGTCCAGGTTCTCACAAACTACGATGTCTCTTTCGTGTAGCCTTTGTACCAGTGACGGCGGCTGCCTTAGCCCAACGTGATCTGAATGCACTTGACTACCTCTATATGCAATGTTGCAACGATGTTGCTCAGGAAAGATTTGCTCCTGAATTGCAGCCTGATGTAGCACTTAGGTTGGCTGCTCTGCACATGCATCAGCACGCTTTAGCCAATAATTTATCAACGGTCAAGCTCACCGTTAAAACAGTCGAGTGAGTAATAATAAAGCAACAATTTTTAATGATACCATATTCTTCTATTCAACTTTTACTTATGTATCATTTACCCTAGGAGAGAGTTTGGCTTAGAACGATTTGTACCAAGCGGACTTCTAGAAAATATGAAACGGAAAGAATTACGAAGATTAATTGGACATTTTCTTAAGCTCAATCAACATATGACTGGTTCTACGGGTAAACAGTTGACAGCGCTGCAAACCAAACTGCATTATTTAGATATCATATCGACGTTACCAAGTTACGGGGCCAAATGTTTTAGTTTTGATCAAAAAGGCGACGTCGTATCAGCTCCTGAAAAAGTTATACTAGTTAGTCCTCGATTTGGATTTAGTCAGATATCTAGTGCTAGAAATTCAGTGGTAAGTTTTACTTATTCTTTTTTTAATTAAAATTTCCATATTTAATACTAGTAATATATAATTTTTTAATTTTAATTAGCCGACACTGATATCAAATCTGGAAGATATTCTTCATGTCAGTCTGACCCGAGAAGATCAACTGCGATTCAACGTCGAAGTAGGACTGACCGGAGACAGACAAGCGGCGTTTTTGATGGATGATGTTGAAGCCAAAGAACTTGCTCTTGTTCTAGCTGGATACCATAGATTAGTAACAGGACGTGAGCTTTACGTCGAACAAGAAAAAGATCCTGTAAACGACGATTTAGCACCTCCATACCTCGCGCAACATTGCGTTGTACCCGATTTATGGAGTTATTTGCCAGACTCGGTAGATTTTAACTCTGTGCAGAGTATGGTGTTCAACATGCAACCGCCGTACCACAATACAATGCCGCATTATTGTACTAACGCCATTGCCCAAACTCAGTGTAAGAAATCGTCCACGGAATGTGATAGAAATATGAACACGACGTTATCAAATAACAATCATGCTCCTCGAGCTGCTTCCGAAAGCTTTGATGAATCTATAGCTTATACGAGTTCTGAAGGCCACGAATCACCTCGACTTGTGGAAGCCCGAAACGAAGAAATACTAAGGCGCGTTGCTGAAATGCAAAAGCTTGTCGAAAACTCTGAACAATACCTCAACGAACATGGTGAATCCACTCGTGCTGAATGGCAGGAGACATCGGTTGATTGTGAAGCTGAAAGCGATACGGAAAGTTCTAATAGTAGAATGTCTTCTATGGATGATTCACCTGGAAAACTGAAACACAGTGACTCATTACTATTACTGACGGAAACTTTAAATCAAGATTTACCTATACGTGCGCCAAACGGCCGCGATTGTATGATGACGAATGGTTATACATTTGCTGATGTACCATCACAATCTGAGAGTGATACTGACTCATTATATACACCAAATGGTTCACCCATGCATCGAACGCAGTATACAAAAATATCACAAAAACCTCCTATAACCAATGCAAGCGATCCTGGATTGAAAGAATATTTAAGACGACTTCGACAAGGAACGGATCGCAATAGATTTTCAGATTCGACGGATTGCGATTTGATCGACTTAACTTCAATACCACCACCACAAACTCCGGATGAACCAGATTGCCCCGAGGTTGCATCGGTTGAACCACGACTTCCGCCTACTTCTTTTGCGGATCCTGATCCAAACGCAATGTTGGGTCTTGAAGAATTTTTGGCGACAGTAGCTATTGAGCCACCAGCGCAAAAAGCTACACCAGCAGTTGAATTAACTCCGGAAGAAATTTTATCATATATCATTCCACCACCGCCAACGTCCACTGTAAGTTCAAGTATAACACAGAGTGATTCGCATTACACGAATCGTTCAGAAGTTCTTCGCGAAATCTCATCTCAAAACGACAGTGAGAGCAGCGGCGGTAATTTAAGTGATACGAGAAATAGTTTAATGATTCGATCTTTGGAAAATAATCGCGTCATTGAATATTCGACTATCGACAGAAAAGGAACGTTTTCGTGCTGCGCGAAAGATAAAACCGATCGTAGTAAACAAAAACCGATGGTTAATGGCGGCGAACCAAAAATAATGCCACGAAGTAACTCAGCAGAATTTAATAAACCACCTGAACGACCTCCGAAGACTTTGGATCAGCGGATGTATTGCAACGGACACGTTGGAAACTCTGAAGCAACAAAAAACACTCAAGTCATTGCTAAAGGTAAATATTTGATACAAAAAAAATATTGCTCTATTGGTAGACAGTACAAATTATATGTTTTTATAGTAGCTCCGATGTCTTCAAGTACATCTAACGAAGAGCGACCACCTTCATTGCCTCCACGCAATGGGGATGCCACACCGCCTCCTTTACCGCACTCGTACGTGCTCCCTAAGAAACCTCCTCTGCCACCAGCGCCCATCCTTGCTAAAACACCAGCAAGTCCGAATTCTCAGCAGCGAGTGGCATCGATCGGATCTCCTCATTTACAACGTGGAAGAATATTTGATCAGGCTAACAGTCATTCCTTACCGAGACATTGCAGGTAAAAATTTATTAGCATGAAACATTTGATATATTGATCACTATCATATTACATTCCTAATCTTTTTTCAGATCACACTCAGAAACGACGATAGGTGCCAGAACGTTGTCGGAACATCGTGCACCTTGCTCACCGCAATTAAACCGCCGTAATAATTCAGTTGGCACTAATCAGGCAGCAGCTTGTCAATTGCTAGGAAAAACAGATGCAGCAATGGCTGGATTACTGGTGCGCTTAGATCAAGTTGCAGCTCAGTGCACAGCAGCACAAGCAAAGGGAGGTGGAGATAGTATAGATGAAGAAAAATTTCAGGTAAATCTAGTAAATTTAACGTAAATTATTTGGGGGTAAGATATAATGTGAACCAGTCAGAGGGCGCACATATTTTAGTAGTCTAGAAACCTACCAATGCCTGTAAGATGATATATAACCATTAGTATTGATTCGATTGCGGAAAGCTTTTAGAAGCACGTGATAAAACTGAATATTTGAAGTTATGTGTTATACTCATACCTCAATTTGCGTCGTGCTTACGTCCAAGTGAATTATTGACGTGAATTATTGATCGTAAGTCCAACAAAATTAGTACGGTGTTCACTAAACACATTTTTTCAATTGTATTGACGAGCATACTCGTCATGATGCGTATGCTCAAATGAATCTTTGACCTTTGGCTATTTAGATTGCAATTTTTTTTAATGAAGAAAAAAACATTAATTTATATTAGATATAAATTCCAAGATATTTAGAGTATTTTGAAGCTTTGGCGGTATGAAATAAGTAGCTGTACGCGGCATTTTAGTTCAAAGCCACTTTTTACCTCAAAACAACATTTTACTTCGATTCTGACTATGCAAAACTGAGTGGTCAGTCCAATGAGCGCACCACAGTTAACTGGTTAAGCAACGATGTAACTTGGAAAAAACGCAAAACGATGCAAATTGAGGTATGGATGTCTATATTTAATGCGATATAATATAATACTTTGTACGTATTCAGACCGCACGTGAAGAGCTAACCGCCCAGGCTCTGCGCCTAGTGACGTCCAGCAAATTGTTAGTGATATCAATGTCCGACTCATCATTAGCTGGTCTACCAGAACACCTCGCAGCCAGTCTGACGGCATTAAGAAGCATCACCGAGCTCACCCAATCTCTTTGCGTCCACACCAGCTCTCCACTTCAAACGCGTAATATTGTTCTTAAAGTCCACGATGTAGCTTCAGGTTTCCGCGAACTGGCCGCTGTAAAAGTGGGTCCTATGTCCTCATCTTCAATAAATGGTGACCCTGACCGCGGTGGGCAATTAGCTCTTCGGGCAGAATGTTTAGCCGACGTTCTTGCTGCACTCCTGCGCAGCCTGCGAGTTTTCTCTCCATAGTCGGCGATCTAGAATTGATGGTTGTACAGAAGCGTGATATGGTAAAAAAATAGCTCATATGTTTAAATTAAGTAGATTAACCGATAGCGAAGAAATGAATGACTTTTTGTATAAAAGATAGGAAAGGGAAAACACCTTCAGCGTTCAGTAATGTGTTTTCTGCTTTTATATTCTGTTGTTTGTTGTTGTTATTGAAGTGCGCCGATGAGAATGTATTATTGAAGTACTGTGTATTAATTTTTCATGTTAATAAATATAATATTAATCACTGTGCCCCACATAATCTATGGTCGTAACAAATGTTAAGGGATAACATTTTATTCGGAATTGACTTACATCCATAATTATATTATATTATTATTAAAATTTTACGTTTTTTAACATAACGTTTATAATAGTTTATACATTTTGCATTAAAATTTTTAATATATTTCGGCATTTTTATCACATTAGCCATACGGGAGTATTCTCCGCCAAAGTGACACTGATGTATGAGCCAACAAGCTGCCCAAGTTTTTGTTACCCAAAATATTTTAAGACTTTTCGATCATTATCAATAATTTAAATCAGACCGATATATTGTCTGTGTGCAGAAGTCAATACATTGGATGTCGTCTACAAGCGACACTCGTACACACAGGTTGCCATGCGGATGTCGACTATAGACGACGCTCGTAGCGAAAGGGCTAATATATAAAATTTTATTAAGACACATTTTATTTTAATTTCAATACTCATCATTTCTTAAGCCGTCCATAAAAATACTGCTAAATAACATAGGTTTTCATTAATAAAAAATTCATTAAAATTACAACATTGGGTAGTATAATACTCTTATATAAATTGTACCAAACACTTTTGCTTACTTATTTTAATTAATACCAATGAAATATTTCTAGATATATTTATGTATAAAAAATATGTTAATATATTTGTTTATAGAAGCTATGTTATGAGTGCTTAAATATTGATGTGCTAAAAAAACTTTTTAATTCATAAGTTATTAATATACCTAAGATATATTTGTTTTGAAATTTTGTTCATAGTTTATTGACATATTTTATACTGTTATTGCAGCAAACTAAATTGTTGAACGATTATAATAACAGTCAACCTTCTTATAACGCGGTATCGAGATTGCGACAACCCTTTTATAACGCGGTTTTCCTTCAACTGCCCATAAGTTTATTCCGCGCTTTCTATGGATGACTCTAGTAACTAGATACTAGGATTATAATATAGATTTCAATATCGACTATTCTGTTTTTTACAATATTTTTATATGAACATGTTCTTTATTATGTCAGACCTCTTTTACAGCACTCTAATATTTCTAAAAAAATTCTGATTAAAATTTTTTGTTGGAAACATTTTTTTAGTTTAGCTTTCATTTCATCCTGTAGGGGGGTTGACTGTCCTTATATTATAATCACTTAATATTTTCTATATAATATTTGGCTATTTATACGATATAGTTAATTCCATCAAGGCAGTTAAATAATTATTGCAGTTTATCATTCCAGTTACATGATTTGTTGATAGGTCCTCTAGTTCATATAAGTTGAAATAAAATATAATAAATGTTTTCATTAAAATCATATCATCTTTAACAGCTGTGAATTATAGATGTGATGTGTCATAAAAATTGAAATAATTACTTATATGTTCAGACAAATATACCTAGCTGCCTATATATATAATATTCAGAGGGTATTCTCAAGAATTTGATTTGCGAGTGTGCCGTATTAGATGATCTTATTAAGCTACGATATGCCAAAGTTGACAAAAATTTTGTTAATTCAATACCAAATGACTTGGTTCAAATAGTATTGAGGAAAAGCTTTGTAATTACGCGTTTTTACATAACTTGTTTGTAAGGATTTATTGTTATTTTTTATAAAATCTATATTTCACATAATGGTATTATTTAAGAAGTTAGAAACGGAACGAGGAGTTTATGTTGTTCGAGTTTTAAAATAAAAGTAATTTATGGGACGATTCGGCCGCACAATAGGCTAATGTTATGGCAAGGCCATGTTCGTGCATTATGCTATTAAATCATACTGAATACTGTCAAGATGTCATGTATTTGTTGTGCATTCAGTCGTTTTTCACATAAACTGCAACGTCACTCGTATGTTATGAAGCTGGGTCAGAAAGACCCTGTTATCTAATCGTTTTTTTTTTTTGACATTTGTGCGTTTTCTAGGTTAGGTTTTCTATCTGACAACCTGAGACTGCACAGCTACCATATGGCTTCTGTCAATATTTAGAATGAATTTGTATGGAATATAAAATAGTCTTGCCATAACCTTGGTCTGTTATGCGGCAGAATCGGTTCAATTAGTTTTCATCTTAATTGCATCAGAGTCATTTATAAACAAATGTTAGAGAAACATATGTATATAATTTTTTATACCGTTTTAATATTAAATAATGCAATGTTGGTAGATCTCATTTAGGGTATGGTGTGGCACAGAGGTCCAATTTGACTTTTAGTAACTACAATCACAACAAATAACACATATCTAACAAACAACTTACATCGAACTATGTTCAGTAAAATTTCTAGGAAAAAAATTGATTTGCTAAGTATGTACTTTTCTAAAATTAGTTGCAGCCCATTTTTTTGCCAAGATCATACTGAATACAAATTTCGTATTATTATTTTTTATACATTTGTCATTGTTTACTTGGTCTTTGGTTCACTTGGTCCAGGATGCACTTGGTCCTTTTTACCTCAACCAAATATAAGCTTTTACAGAGTTTTAGTCTAACTTAAAAATAACAATACACCTTATACAACAATTAAATAATGTATATATATAAACTGTATTCAAGTATTGTAAACTAAACAACAGTGCTCAAAACCAAACAGCTGACAGCGAAAAGAAATACTTTTGTTAGATAATTGACAATGCGGTCTTTTATCGGCCGATTTAAGGCAGTGTCTGATTACACATCTTTTGCCCTCTACTTTAAAATAGTATCGTTAAATAATTCCAAACTTAATTTGTTTTTTGAGATAATTGGACCTTTTTACTCACGCCTCTCTCTACCCTAAATTACGTCTGTCAAAAATTTCCAATCATTTTTATAAATCCTGGATTAAAATCGTGCATTCCCAAATTAATGTTGTAGGAACTCGACTGCTGAATCACAAGAGTTTTATAATAAACAAAATCTCATATACGAATATTTGTGGAATTTTACAGGTGGATAATATAATTAGTGTTTTATAAATTTCGTATTGATTTTAGAATTTGCAAGAGATGTTAAGGAATCAATAATAAGTACTTTTTGAAAAAAATTTGACCAATAATAACGTTCATTATCAAAATGTATCATATCCAAATGGAAAGGCATTTCTGTATATGCCTGTGTCTGTGTAGAAAAATCTAAAACTGTAGATTAATTAATAGAGACAAATACTGATTTTTGGATTAAATGTGATAACAATGCATGATCATATCTAACTTTACTGTCAATATACTATAAATAATATATTCACATATTGTTTATTTTATGTACTGTTCCATGGTGTAATTGTATAGTATATACTAAATATGCTACTGATTTATAATTTAACTTTGTTTTCTATTAGCAGACTAATTTGAAATTATTTTAATACAATGAGTTTGAAATTTAGTGCATTTTATAATAACAAAAGATATTTATATACATATATAGATTTTAATATAATTTTCAAATGAATATTCTATACATTCGAATATTATGCATTTTAATACAATTTATTGAAATAGCTGTAGTCTATTGTGTTAAATATATTGCAGACTGAACTGAAAACCGTTTGTTTTTGTTTAGTCTACTTTTCAGTCTAGGTTCGATCTCAACCTCGGCCATCTCGATATCAAGCAGTACGATATCAAATTTCTACTTGATGTTATAGAACTCAGGGGACGTCCATTAATCACGTGTTCGATTTTTAATGATATTGGAATTGACCTTTTTGAAAAATTTGATTTTTTCTATACTGTCAAATATTTTGGAAATTTTGAACTTTTTTCAAAGCAATCGCTATACGTCAGCTGCGTAGAAACGAAATATCAAAGCGCGTGAGCGCCGCGACGCAGTATAACGGTTAAACATTAGTACGGAATCCATATAAAAGTGAACAAAATTTGTTCTCATTATTAAAAGATCTATAAAGCATGTGATAATTGGTTGTGTATATGTCTAATGATCATTTTTGTTCGCCAATTGGCATTTTTTTTACTTTTTTTATTGGATCTCCGAAACAGCTAGACCTGCCTTACCAAAAATTTCATCAATTTGTCAATACAAATAAAATGTTTTTTAAATTATACAAATCGGACGCTCCATTCTCTCAAAAAAATCTATTACCATTTTTGGCACTTCTGCCCCGTATCTTCGAAACGGCTCGACCTGCCCTTGTCAAAAACTTATCAGCACGTATCCTTATCAATACGAATCGAATGTTTTTAATTATTCTTCTAATTTTAATTATTTTTTAGTTTAATTATTCAAATCGGTTGACCCATGTTCCCGAAATCGTCGACAAAAAAATGTATCCGCACACACACACATCAACTAAACTAAAAATTGCAAGAACAAATTGGAGTAGGTAAGATTAAAAATTTATTAAACATAAAACATAACCAAAAATTACCAAATTACATATTTTAGTACGCTAATAAAACAAAAATTATCAATCTACTTCCATATCTAGACCAGAAATAAAGTCATGTTGCTTGGGATGATACCACGCCATCTCGAGCCTTTTCATCACTGCCTTGCTCATTATCTTGTAATAAAGCCAGGGCTTCTAATCGACTTTTTTCAGCTTCAGCCTTTTCCAGCAGCAAACGCTCTTCTCTCTCACTTACCTTGGCCAATTCCACAATCATACGAATTTCGTTGATGGCCATTTGTATAAATTTGAGATGGGATTCTGTGTCTTCGCGATCTGCCATAGGTTGGCGAACTGCACCACTTCTGTCTGGAAGTAAATGTCAAGTGAGATAATAAGCAATTAAACTAGTGGTGTATATTTTTTGCACATTTTGTTCCATATCTCCGAAACGTCTGGACCTGCCTTTGCCAAAAACTAATCACCACTTTCCTCCATTATTACAAATTGAATGTTTTTTGGATCATTCAAATTGTATACTCTGTTCCTTCAAAAACTTGATTTCTATTTTCTACACCCTATGCTCTGTAACTCCAAAACGACTGGACCGACTTTTGCGAAAAACTAATCAGCACGTCTCCTTATCAATAGGAATCGGTTGTTTTCTGAACCATTCAAATCGGTTGATCTGTGCGCCCGAGAACGTAGACGAAAAATTGTATCCATACATACATACATACACACACATCCATTTTTTCTAAAGTATGCCAAAATGTTCAGAAACCTTCAAACCGTGAATATATGCAAAAATTTTTGGGAAGTTAATAGTGATTTTAATTTAGTTGCACTGAATAGGAATATATAACTTTTTCTTGAGCAACCTTACCCTAAGAGCTACAATTTTTCTTATTTTTATTCTTACCATTCTTGATCTATAAATATCATTTTACTTACTTCTTCGTTTCATTAGTTCCACATACATGTCCCAAAATAAATCTTTGACAATAAATATTTCAGATTCTTTTGAGTAAACCAAATCTTTTATTCTGACTATTCTTGACTCCCAAATTTGAGACTCGTACTTCACATCTTGATAGCGTTTCTAGAAACATAAAAAATAATTATTAGCTACATTTTAAACAATCTTTAATTATTGTAATAATCATAATTACATCCATTTGTGCCAATGCTGTATTTAGGCTGATTATTTTTGAGTTCTTCTCGGCTGCCAGTAGGCCAACTTCATTTCGAGTTTTTTCCAATTCTCGCATGTTTCTTTGCTGGGATATAGCAATCTCTTCTCTTGCTGAAACTATAATAGAATCATGATAATTAATACTTAATTTTAAATTTTTATAAAGTTATAATTACTATTTTTGGTCTACTTACCCAATGCCTGATAACGCTTATGAGTATCAGCAATGCTGTGGAGATTGGGCGATATCTCTACAACATCTTCTAGGTATTTCTAAAATAATAATAACAAATAAGTGAATTTTTAATATTACAATACATTTTTCTTATACCTACCTCATAGGCCCTGTATTTTTCAATATGTCTTAACAAAACACTCTTGACATGATTATAAAATTCCACCTGATTGTTCAGCTCTGCAACATCAGAAAGGAGAGCATCGTGTACTATTGTTTCGGTTTCATACTGAAATAAACAATTGCACATATAACAAAAAAGCTTTGTAATCCAAATTTTATATTTACAACCTTTCTTTGAGCTCTTTCAATCTTGTCCTTGTTTTCTTTTACAAATTTGTTGAACCGCAGAAAGTGTTTTCTGAGTTCTTGTTCAGCTATCAGAAATTCTTCATATTGCGATTTAAACTTTCGTGTCATTATTGCTTCCCTGCGTCTGTAGAAATATTATAATATGAGCAATCAAATAATAATATAATAAAATATATTATTAACCAACCTTGTTTCATCTAAATACATCTGAGCTGATTCTTTTTCTCGTTGTATCTCCAACATTGCACATGCAGGACCAGCTCGTGATAAATCCCATGGTGGCTTACCTCTGTAAAATATAAATATTTCTATCAAATACTAAGCAAAAACCAAAGAAAATTTATACCTAGTATCTATTATTATTATTATTGTGATATTTATCAACTTACGTCGCAGCCTTCTTCAAAAAAAGTGTTTCTTGATATTCAGCTTCCGCCTGCACAGGTGCAAAATCCAAGGGATTGTATTTAACATGGTATTCTAACTTTATTTTTTGTTCCGGTATGTTCCAGTCTTCCATTTTAAACTAAATATTAATTTATTAATGAATAATTTAGTATTATAAAAATTATACGAAGTGATTTTAAAAATAATAACTTTTGATAAAAATCAATCAAAATATTTAAACAGTCATTTGTTTTTTGAATTTGGTGCTATGGGACATGCATATGAAGTAAGTTACATCATACGTCCATGGTAATAAGGAACTTATTTAATATTTTAACCTTTGCCACTCGCGAATTTCGAGATTTATATGAATTTTGGCATCCGAGTGGAAAGGGTTAACTTCTCGTAGGGTAAGTTATTGTAATCGTCCAAAAATCGAAATTGTAATTTTTGCATATTTTTACATTTTATGGATGTACGTAGTATGTATGTATGTATACAATTTTTCGTCGACGTTTTCGGGAGCACCGCTCAACCGATTTGAATTATTCAGAAAGCATTCGATTTCTATTGATAAGGAGACTTGCAAAATTTGGTTCAGCCGTTTTGAAGATACGTAGCAAAAAGTGCAGAAAATAGAATTCGAGCTTTTGAGAGCACGGAGCATCCGATTTGAATGATTCAAATAACATTCAATTTGTAATGATGGGGAGAAATGGTGATTAGCTTTTGGCAAAGACAGGTCCTGTCGTTTCGGAGATACGGAGCAAAATGTGCTAAAAATGGCAGTTTTTGAGAGAACGAAGCATTAGATTTGAATGATACTAAAAACTTTTTGCTTGTGTTGACAAAACGATGTTTTTTTGGTAAAGCAAAAAAAATTCATTTTTTTTTATTTCTAAACAATATTCTAACCAAAATTCTAAAGCTCACTTAATATATACTTTAAATAAAATATTTTAATTTTGCAATTCAGTTGGTATAATTCTTAGAAATATGAGATAAGTTCCTTCATTCTAGCTCCCCTTTATTAGGTTCTGTTCAATAACTTTTCATGTAAACTTATATAAAAGTTACAAGATTTATAAGTATCTATAATACAGTATTTAGAATATTTGAAAACATTTAATATTCTTGGAATATTTCATTACTGTACGGGAAGTAGCAGCAATTTGCCTTTATTTATTATTATTTTATTTTATTATTTACTTTTAGTTTTCATTTCATTTTAAAATACAATTTAGTGTGACAAAAATTATGTAAAGTGATTTTAAAAACAATTTTTGCAAAAATCAAACAAAATACTTGAACAATCATTTGTTTTTTTGAATTTGGTGCCACCTTATATTCATATGAAGTAAGTAACATCGTACGTCTATGTTAAGAATAAACTTAACATGGACCTAATATTTTTTATTTTTTATGATTCCTGCCATTTTTTTATTTTTTAAGCTTCTTTCTCGAATGAAATATAATGTAGTATTTAAAATATTATACGAAATGATTTTAAAAATAATAATTTTTGACTACAATCAATCAAAATATTGAAATAGCGATTTGTGTTTTGAATTTTGCGCCAACTAACATGTGTGTGAAGTAAGCAATATACGACAAACTGTCATCCACTTGATGTAATTATTGTAAGTTTTTGTTTGATTTAGTAACTTTTAGGTTTTTATTTTAAATTAAATATATTTTAGTATCACAATTATTATACAAAAAGATTTTAAAAATAATAACTTTTGACAAAAATCAATCAAAATATTTAAATAGCGATTTGTTTTTTGAATTTTGCGCCAACTAACATGTGTGTGAAGTAAGCAATATACGACAAACTGTCATTCACTTGTTGAAATAATAAACAATAATAATATTGTTGAAATAATAAAATAATAATAAACAATGTTTATTTACTTAGTGCTCAGCCTCCATATTTGGACAAATGTATGTATTCAGTTTTTTATGAAAAGACTCTATTACAATTATTATATTAAAATATTATTTGTATTCCAGACCCAGCACTATTTTATATATAATTAATAGGTATATGATTTTATAAACCAAATCATAATAATTTATATTTTGATACGCATTGTTGCCAGATTTAGGAATCTACAAAAACCTGGTATAATGAGTGAAGAAATATCTGTTTGCAGCAGGGAACATTCCATAAAAATAAGTAATATGCATAATCATGATGTCGTTAGTAATTCTGTTATATTACTAAGAGGTACTGTAAGAAATACTAGCACATGCAATAATAGCATTATTATTAACCATTATCACAATGGAGAAATCATACAAACGTTTATGTGCAATGTCCACAATTCTGTCTTCAAATGTCTAGTACAACTGAAATTATCAATAAACCATTTTGAACTTAAATATTGCAGCAACACCATTAACTGCAATGTAGACTATAAAGTGATCAGTACTGTTCATACTGTGGCACCGGTTTTAATTATATGTGACAACCACGATGGCACTATTTCTGCTCCAGATGAATATTCAAAATCTTTAGAAAGCAGTCGCAGCAGATTGATGCTTGCTGTACAATTGATGCAATATTTCTTTGCTGAAAAAGTTTATGAGTACACAAATGCACACAAAACTTTAACATCGAATACGAAGACGATTTACCTAAAATTTATGTCCACAAAAGCAAGTTAGATGTAAATCTTGCAAATGAAATGAACGAAATAGAATTATGGCAATATTTTGCAAAAGAACTCATGATGTCGAAACTGTCCTCGCCGAAACGCAAGTTTTTAGCTGTAATCACAAACACTGAGTACAAAAGTAGTGATGCGACAAGTTTGTGCTATGATGATATTAAAAAACTGACCAATTGCTATGCAAGTGTGGGTAAAGGGAATCTAGCTTTATTTGGAAATCCTTTCTTTTACACCTGGCCTGTGGAAATAAGTGAAGTACAAAATCGGTATGTCAACTTCTATTTTCATTCTACAAACCTATTCTAATTCTATAATCCTTAGTTTTCAGGACAACGTGCTAGAGTCCTTTATTACCCAAAACAAAGAAGTTGATCCTGTGATAAAAACCATTGGAGGTTGTTACTCGTTCAGTTTTGGGGCTGCTCTTCATGAACTTGCTCATATATTTGATTTGGGGCATACTCAATATGGTTTAATGGGTCGTGAATATTTTAACATAGATAAAGTGTTCAGTTTTGGACGATACGACTTGAATCCACAAGCTCCTTACAGTGATTTAAATACAAGTAATGATGATAATAAAAGCATGAGCTGTAATAGGAAGTCCTTCACAGTTTTTAAAAAGCCAGTAAAGCCTCAAGTTACTCAATTTGCAAAGA